GACTTAATCACTGTCAAGGCCGTACTTCCAGATATGAGATAAAATATCTGACCCTTGCTTGCAGCGAGGGTGCCAAGCATTTATCAACTAGATTTACCTGGAACCTCCAGAGTCCTCCTATGTCACCTGTCCTTTCGAAGCAGACAGGCTCCAAGCCTTCTTCCAGGCAGCACTTGATAGACGGGAGCCCGCTCGCACCTGCCCCAATCACAGCAATTCTCTTCTTAGTCATGGTCTCCGGAGACCTGCACAGGGCTGGGCCAACGTAACCTGTCCGAAAGAAAGGATGGCAAAATACAGAAAGCACACGTCAGTTAGGACTTTTCCAGGAAGGCCTTGGCCGTGGCATCCGAGTAGATGCTGCAACAACAGGTGCCTTTGTGGAGGCCAGATCCCGCTGTTCTCAGCCATCCCTACCCGCTTCGCGTGGCACAGAGAGAGGAGCCTGCGCCTGCAGCACTCAGAGCCCGGCCGGGAGCTGGACTCGACTCACTGCCTGTCCCTCAGCGCCTGCGGATTTCTGGGCTGCGCTCCCCAGGCTGTTCTGCACTTTCGGCTGTTTACAAAGGAATATAAAGCCATCACATGCAAACGCCACCTCCTCCAGCCGCCCCCGCCAGGGCCGCTGACATAGCCCTGTTCCCTGTCCGAGTCCCAAGGTCAAACCGGACAGGACCTGGCTTTGCGCAGAAAAAATTAACCTTATCGCTCCCGGTTTTCGCTGCTGGTTCCTGCGCTCACTTCACTCTGCGAAAGGCAGCGGGCCGCACCCTGTGTGGCTCCCCACCCCTGCACAACCACTTCCAACTTCCAGGTGTGTTTGCCTTAAAGCGACAACCTCCTCCCGGTGCAGGGGATCTGTCCACAACGCCAAAGCAAGTCTGGGTCCAACAGCTGAAGTGAAGAACCCCTGCCTTTCAAGAGACCTGTTAAAACCGGTCCTGGCCCCTGGGGTCCAAAAGGCCCACAGAGAATTTCAATAAAATATACGTTTAGAAAGTGCTTTCTCTCATACAGTCTCATGTGGAATTAAAAACATAAAAGTTAATGTTTTTCAGATTTATCCAAGTATTTGCATGTAGCAGTAGTTTGCTCTTTTTTTTATTGCATGAATATATAATTTGTTTATCCATTCTCATATTGATGGATATTTAGGTTATATCCACTTTTTGGTATTATGAAGGTTTTTAATTCTTTTTTTTTTCTTTTTTACTTCTTTTATTTCATTATTAGGGCCTTTTATTACAAGTCGTTTTTGTGGATGTATGCTCTCCTTTTTCTTGCACGTCTAAGAATGGAATTGTTGAGTCATAGCGGTAGGTGTACGTTTAACTAAAGTTTTGAAAAGAGGTTGTACCATTTTATGCGCCAACCAGCAATTTATAAAAGTTGCAATACTTGCCTGTCTCTCAGCTCTTGAAACAGTTCGCAATTGCTCATGCGTAATAAATACCTCATGGTGCTTTTTATTGGAATTTCCCTGATGACCAACGATGTTCAATCTCTTTACATTTAATTTCTTGGCCATTTTTTGTGAAAACCTTTTGCCCATTTTTTAAAAATTTTATTTTATTAGTTTCAAGTATTCAGTACATTAGTTAGACATTTATATAGTTTATAAAACGACCCCCCTAATTGCTCTTTCTGTCCTTCGGCTCTCCACCTAGCCATTACATTAATGCTGACTGCATTCCCTATTTTAAAAGCTGGGTTATCATCTTATTGAGTTGTAAGACTTCTCTGTATAATCTGGTTACAAATCCTTTGCAAATATGTGTATTTCAAATATTTTCTCCTTGTCTAACATAACTTATTGCTTTCTTAATTGTGTCCTTTGATGAGCAGAAGTTTTAAATTTTGATGTAGTCTACTTTATCATTTTTTCCTTTGTGGTTAGTTTTTTGTTCTTATTTAAGAAATCTTTGCCTATCCCAAGCTCAGATAGTATCCTGTGTTCCTGGCTAGAAGAGATTTGTAATTTTAGCTTTCACATTTAGACCTATGATCCATTTTAAATTAATTTTTATGAACAGTGTGAGTATAAGGGTCAAGGTTCATTTTTTTCTCTCTGGATATTTTATCCTCCCAACACAATTTAGTCTAAAACTTTTCTTTCCCCTTGAATTGCGTTGGTGTCTTTGACATTGATCAAGTAACATATACATGCAAGCCTATATGTTGACTTTATTCTGTTCCATCGATCTGTTGTTTTGTCCTTATGCCTATACCATACTGTATTAATTACTTATGTTTATTGTAAAATTTGAAAACTGGTAGTATAAATCCTCCATCTTTGTGCTCATTTTACAGATTATTTTGACTATTCTGGTTTTTTGTAATTCCATTTAAATTTTCAAATTAGCCTATCAATTTCTACAAAAAAAAAAAACAAAAACGAAAAAACCCACTGAGATTACAATTAGTACTTCACTGACTGTATAGACCAGCTAAATCTAATTTGTGAAATAGACGATTTCTCTTTCTACTAGTTCTTTGATTTCTGTGTTGTTTTATAATTTTTACTGTAGAATCTTGCACATTTTATTTAATCTTGTGCATTTTATTTTAAAAATCCTATTGTAAATGGTTTATACAAAATGCTTTTAGGTTTTCATCTTCCAATTGTTTATCTCAGGTATAAAGAAATACAATTGATTTTTTTTTCCCCCCCTACAGCACCTGGTGTTCCTATCCAAGTACTAACCAGGCCCCACTCTGCTTAGCTTCTGAGATCAGACGGGATTGGGTTTGTTCAGGGTGGCATGGCCGTAGACACAATTGATATTTGTACATGACTTTGCATCACAAAACCTTGCTAAGTTCACGTATTACTTCCGGTAGTTTATAGATTCTTTGGATATTCTTTGCACACAATCGTGTCATTTATGAAAAAAGATAATTATTCAATTATTAATTTTTAATTGTTTTTTCTCTCCTTATTGCACTAGTTAGACCCTCAATACAATGCTGAGTAAAAGTGGTGATAACAGACACTTGTCTTGTTAGGCAGAAGCAGTCACTATTTCACCATTAAGTGCGATGTTATTTATCAATTTTAGGTAAAAAAAACTTGTCAAAGTGAGTAAATTTCTTTCTATTCTTACTCAACTAAGAGTTTTTATTATGATTGGGGTTGAATTTTATAAAATGCTTATTTTATATCTTTTAAGATAATCATATTGTCCATGTTACAGTGAATGATTGATTGTTTTAATATTAAGCCACTCTGTCTTTCTAGAATAAACTCACATGACCATAATGTGTATAGTTATTATCTGACAGTTTTTTATTTGTTAATAGTTCATTGAGAATTTTTTCCATATATATTCTTCAGAGATATTGCTCTGTAATTTTTTTTCTTGTAATATATTTGATGGTTTTGATATCAACGTTTTGCTGGCCTCTCTGAAAGATTTTGTGTAGAATCATTCATCTTTTCCTTTAAAAGTTTGGTAGCATTTACCAGTGTAGCCAGCTGGACCTGATGTTTTGGTCGTTGGAATGTTTGAAATTATGGATTTAATTTCATTAAAAGATATAGGATTATTCAAATTTTCTGTCTCTTCTTGTGCCAGTTTCCATAAGTTGTGTTTTTCTAGGAAGTTGCCCATTTGATCTAGGTCGTCAAATTTATCGGTGTAAAGTTATTCATGATATCTTCATATTATTCTTTCAATGTGTGTAGAATCTATGGTGGCGTTGCTTCTGTCATTCCTGATATTAGGCATTTCTATTTCCTCTCTCACTCATTTTTCCCCTTTGATCACGTCTGTCAATTTTAGCAATCTTTTTAAAGAACCATCTTTTGGCTTGACTTTCTTTGTTTTATAACTATTTTCTATTTCATTAATTTCTGATTTTGTTTATTAGTTCCTTCTCTGTACCTTCTCTTCTTTTCCTAGCTTGTTGGGATGGATACTTAATTCATCAAATTTCCATCCAAGAATCATTATATCTGCATCCCACAAATTTTGCTATGTTGTATTTCCATTACTGTTACTTTCAAAGTATTTTCTAATTTTTATTGTAATTTCATCTTTGTTGAGTGGGTTGTTTAAAAGTAAGTTATGTAATTTCCAAATCATTTGGGATTTTCTAGATATCTTATTGCTGATTTCTAGTTTAATTTTGGTGCGGTGAAAGAACATATTTTATATGATTTTAATCTTTTGAAATTGATTACTAATTGTATGGCTCAGCAGATAACATGTTTTGTTCAATGTTCCAATATGTACTTGAAAAGACTGTGTAAAGACTGTGTAATCTGCAGTTACTCAGTATAGTGTCCTACAAGTGTCAGCTAGGTTAAGTTGCTTCATATTGTTGCTCAAATGTTCTATATTCTTACTAATGTTTTATCTGCTTGTACTGTTGATTATCAAGAAAGTATGTTAAAACCTTCAAGTATAATTCTAGATTTGTCTAGGAAAGGCAAAACTATGGAGACAGTAAAATGATCAGTGGTTGCTAAGGGTTAGAGGGGAGGGAAGAATGAATAGGTAGAGCACTGAGGATTTTTAGGGCGGTGAAAATACTCTGCATGATACTGTTATGGTGGATACATGCCGTTATACCTTTGTCCAAGCCCACAGAACATATGACACCTAATGTAAACTATGGACTTTGGATGTTAATGATGTGTTAATTTAGGTTTACTGACTGTAATAAATATAGCAGCCTGGTGGGAGATGTCGCTAACGGGGAAGGCTAGGTGTGTGGGGGGGCTAGGAGTATATGGGAAATCTCTGTACCTTCCTCTCAGTTAAACTGTGATCCTAAAACTATTCTTAAAAAAAAGTCTAAAAAAATAGAATCTTTTAAAAAATGTTTTCAATAAATAAATTCTCTTCATAAAAACGAAAACAAAAACGAGGTACAGCACTTGCTGCACTAAGTTACAATTGTGTTGTTTTGGTGTAAGAATAGTCAAATAGATAAAGAAGACACTATAGAGAACCAAGAAACTGGTCCATGCACATAGGGACAACTGCTTTATGATGACATTGTCACTGCAAAGCAATGGAGAAAAATAGCTTTTCAATAAACGGTGCTGGGTGAAAAAAAAAACCTCGAAAGCTGATTCTTACTTACTATCCTACATAAAAGTTAATTCCAGTTTCGTAATAGGCATAAATGTACTGGAAGTCCTAGACAGTGTGATAAGATAAGAAAAATAAATAAGAGAAATTCAGATTGGAAAGGAAGAAATAAGACTGTCCCTATCTGCAGAGAACACGTTTGTCCATGTAGAGGATTTCAAGGAATCTACA